CTCATTAGTGTTCAAGGCCTCAAACCTGTTCCTGAGATGATTCTGAAATTCAGGTGGTATGAAATCAAAGTCATATTTTGGCTCTTGTGGATTTGGTTTCATTTTCCTCAGCTTCAACTTGAACTTGCATATGAGTAGTTGGTGGTCTGTTCCACAATCAGCCCCCGGCCTAGTTTTCACAGCTGATACTGAGCTTCTCCAGCGGTTCCTTCCACAGATGTAGTCGATCTGATTCCTAATAATAAAATATGTAGCATCCCAAGTAGTGACTAAGAGCTAAGGAGAAAAATAAAACTGAGTAAAAGCTAGTAAGGAAAGTAAACATTTTAAATAGGTTGGAATTATATCTATGTCTCCTCTCCCCCCCCCCCCTTTGTCACATAATGCTATTGTCTTCTAGTGTCACATCTAAATATTGTTAGGTCAGGTAAGCAGATAAACCTCATCTAGGTTATTGAATGCTCTTAATTTCACAATCTTTTTAAAACAATAAATCCCAACAAGTACACAAATATGTCAGAATCTAAAAGCCTAACCCCAGGACCCTGTATAATTAGCAGTGTCAGCTCTTGAACATACTGTTGATTATTACCTAAAAATATCAGTTCCTTTGAAGCTGAAAGATGACATCAAAGCTGTGTTACTAAGATTGACTTGAAAATTACTGTTCTCTTCTAAATATTAATGTAGAAAGTAAATTATTATTAAGAAGGCTGTGACCTGAAAGCATTAGGTCAGTTTGATTCTTTCATACACAAGGAAAAGAGAGATGAAGACAAGAATTCCAGTAGTTCTAGTCCCTTCACCCAGGGCAGTTGGGAAGTTGTTTACTCTTTGAGGGCCCACTGCTGACGTCTGCTCCCTGAGTAATGTCATCAGATTTCCTGGTGGTGGTTATTTTGGGGGGGCAGTGGTAAGTAGTTGTCCGTCCGGCTCCAGTGGGCCTGTGTGCAACAGAGGTCCTGAGAGCCGGATATACCCCGTAGACAGGATGTAAGGTTAAATGCAGTCTAGTTAAGTAAATAAAGTAAGTGTTCATGGTAAAAGAGTGTTGCTAAAACATTAACTTTTAAAGTTATACTGCTAAAATTATACAAAGGCAAATTCATGGTCGTAAATCTTTTTAAAAATAAATCTATAGTGTCTTTTATCGCTTAAAATAAATCCAGTGGTGAGTTATTTTTATAACTTGATGTCATAAAGTTATGCTGTCCTTTGTCTGTAGAAGTAAAGCTGTTTCACTGGATTGGCTATAATGTTTTGTTCCAGGGATGATGAGGTTTTTTCCCTGAACTATTTATACTTTAATCTTGTGCTACAGTTTGTGACCAACACTTATGTATGTATTTTAATCTCTCTAGGCAATAATATTTTTTAAAGTATTAATGATATCCTTTTACTTTCTTTCTCCTAGTTTATTTATGTCTGTACTATCAACGTTCTTAAATGTAATAATTGAAAGCTTAATATATTTAAATTTTTCATGTTTTATGATAAAAAGATTGGATTTTCCCTCTGAGTTTAATTTAGCAGTATCTTCTAAATTTTATTATATGATGTCCTCACTTTTATTAATTTTCAAGTTTGCAGTTCTTTAATTCAACAGCTGTATAATATGCGAGATTTTGTTTGTTTTCATTTGGAAGAAAGAGAATGATAATTTTTGCTTGTTGAAACTTAGATTTTTAAAGCTTTTTGTTTTGGTTGCCTTGTAATCAAATACAGTAATCCTGCATTATTTTTTTTTCTTGTTGTGTGTTGTCGAGTTGGATCTGATTGGCACAGGAGGAGACTGTCCCTCCTCCAGTGGAGCATCTGGTAGATTCAAACCAGACATCTTTGGGATTGCAGTACAGCTTCTTACCACTAGGCCACTAGAACTCCCTTGATATTGCCTTTTTTAAAAAAGACTAACAAAACTGTACAATTTTTACTTTGAGAAATACACTTTAAGGTATTTTTTGTGATCTAGCATGTATTTTTATGATACTCATATTTTGTTTCTTCCTACTCGGGCTAGTTTTCATCTACTCAATCCTCCAAAGTGAGTCCTATTCTAACCCACATCCGAGGCTAAGAAGACCTTAATTCATGGAAAAGGCCCAACTGCTCTCTACCTACCACTTTGTCTATGACAGTAGGAACTCCTTCTGGTGAAAGCTTTTCTAACCTCTTTTGAAACTGTCCTCCATAGTGTGGGAAATCAGTGCAGAATGAGTTTCCATCTCTTTCTTCATCCTGTGGTATGAGCAGTTCATTGACATTTCTAAGCAGCGGTCTTATTCCAATCCTTGTTCTTTCATGGATTCTAGCTTTATCCATAAAAATGAGCAAGCAAACTGATAATTCAAAAGGATCTCATAGAGCATTTCTTGCTTTCCTTCTCTCACTGTAGAACTGTAGCTACAATGCAGATATTGTATGACTCCTCCTGACCTTTTGGGTCATCTTTTAGTTTTTCTAGACATTGTGACTTTGACATCTAACTGGGTCTCTCAATATGAGACTCACCCACTTTACTTAGCTCAGGAGGATAAGGGGTACTCCCATGGTCTCATCTTTCACCTTCCACCCAGCCAGAGACATCTTCTGCTCAGTTTTGAGTTTAACATAGGAGTGGCCTTCATTGCTGCTTCTGCCTTTTGTAAGGTGGCATGATTACACAGCAAATCATAAACTAAGCCAGCGGCCCGTAATTAGTAGACATCAGCTTGTAATGGTTCAAAATATACATGAATTTCCTGTAACACTGAGTAAGTTTTGTTAACATGTATGTACCATAGGATAGATCACTGCTTGAAGGAGATTGAAGGGCGGGGGGGGGGGGGTGGCCCGTTGGGAAGCATCTTGCCAGAAATCTTATTCTAGTTATTCTCCTAGATACAGAATCATGCCGTCTGCAGAAATCCAGAGTAGGGCAGGGCTTCCAGCAGTACATATGGTATCTCTGGGCATATTGTAAAATAGTGTTTGCTCTTCAGCATAGCAGACTAATGTTGGGGTTCATCTCTTGGGGCTGGATTTCAACTCCATCTTCTGCTTCACTGGACTCTTTGTGCACTATACAGACTTCCCAGACCCACACAGGCAGTAGAGCAATACAGACCTGGGCCAGCATCTCAGCCCTGCTATTTACTGGCTTTGCAGCAAAGCCAGGTGTGGAAGCTTAGTTTCCTAGCTGTTAAGTCTTGAAACATTGTGAGGATTTTGCAAGAAAGCCCTTACTTACCACAGTATATGGCACATGGTAAGCCCTTTCTGGGAGCTGTAATCATTATGATTCCATTAGAAGTTTGCTTATGGCCATTATATTTATATTTATGTTTTTCAGGTTTCAAATAGGTAAGCTTTGGTTGGTAAGTGTTATGCTACATAATATGGGTATAAAGGCAGTTGTCTTTTTGTTCTTGTCTTTGAGGAGTTCGTAATTTCTTTGGAAAGATAGATGCACATGATTGACCAGGATAGGTGCCTTTAAAAGGCAAACGAAGCTGGATTATTAAAGTCAGATTTAGAACTACTCTCTCAAATATATGGTTCCAGTCAGTCTCATCTGAGTAAAGGAACTGGACCTACAGATCCTACTGTCAGTTTAACATGCTTATAAAACCTTATCTCAGACAATATAAATTATTAATATTGACTCAGGAAGAACTTACATAGGCCTCTGCCATGGAAGAGTTAAAAGACAGTATCTTTGGTGTTCTGGCTTAGGAAAAATTGGTGAAAAGTGTGACTTTATAGAAACAATTTTAGACACACACAGAAGAGAGGTTTGGGTTGGACTTCGGAGGTGAGGAGCAACCTGGACAAAGGTGTGGTGGCAGGAGTAACTGCAGGGCAGGGAGACATGCAGGGGACATGGAGAGACTGTGAGCTGAGAAGACATCTCTGTCCAGAGGGTTAGGGGCAGAGTTCACTACTGTGACTCCCTCAGTGTCATTTCCTGTTGGAGGCCACGGTTCCCAGTGTAGTACTACCTGAGGATTGCTGTGAGTGAGAGACAGAGTGTGTCTTGTGTGTGTGTGGTGGTGCAAGAGGGAAAGGATTGACTGTGCCTCAGTAAGTCTTCTCAGCTCTCACATGCCATGAACTGACTGCAGAATTGCATTATTGTGTCATCTTAGATGAGATTTCATGGTTTCACATGAGAAGGATGAAAGTAGGAATAGAAGAAACCAGTACTTATTCATTATCTACTCTTTGAAAGCTATTTAAGTTGTAATCTCATGTGATCTAAGTAATTAAAGTAATATAATATTTTTATTTCCATTTTACAAATGAGAAAATTGAAGCTGAAGAGATTGAGTCAGTCACTGAAAGGTGCACACAGCTGGTAGGATGTACAGCTGGGATCAGACTTGCACCCTGGATTCTTCATAAGTGCTTCTTTGCCTCCTTTGCACTTTAGGTGATTTTTCTCTGGAGTAGAAGTTTCACTGTCACCTGGCACTATCCGGAGAGAGAAAACTTTAAACAAACTTTTCTTTTTCTTCATGTTTAATAAAGTCTCTTTCTTATAGGTAACTGATGTGCAATTTGGCCCCATGAGATTTCATCAAGATCAACTTCAGGTAATGTTCAAATACAGTAAAAAATAAAACTTGTAATAATTTACACAAGTTGATTTTTTAGAAGATTGACAAGTGGCGAGCCTAAAGCTCCACATTAAAAAAGTCATCCATTTTCAAGAATGATTTTTGGATCAGTGTTAAATTCTGAACTTCATGACAGTGTTGTGAAGTGTTCTTTTCTTGGAAATATACATTGAGATATTAATAAATTAAGTAACATTAGAAATCAGGAAAAATGAGGGGAATGATATATAAGTGGAGAAGGTGGATCATTTGGTCAGTCTCGGTTGAGGCCTCCCCTGAGCTGTGCCAAATTATCTCACAATGACCACTGCCCCAGGGCACAGACAGAGTTGCTGCTTTTTGAGCTAGTCCTATCAGCTGCCACTTAGCCAGCAGGTTTTGAAATGTTAAAGGTTTTTTTTAATTTTCTTATCAAAATAATGCTTGAATTTTTTTTTAAACTTGGAGGAAACTATAGAAAACCTTTAGTCAAATATTTAAAGACATTCTTGATCTGATTAAGTATCCTAGTAGTTTCAGTGAAATAATAGTGGATTGCTTTATTAAAATAATAGTGGTTTTTGCCATTTACTTGATATTATTTTCTATTAATGAAAATAAGTACCAGCAACAAAACCAATAAAATAGACATTGTAAACATACAGTGGTGAGATCAGTCAAATCTGATAATGAGAAATGTCAAACTCTTCAAATGAAGTTATAGTTTAACACAGCACTTGAGTGGTAATTGTCTAAAACGTGAATTTTGAGGAGGCAAGTGAGTGATAATGTCCTTGAGCTATGTATACATAGGAGAAAGAGTTATACTGGCAGTTTGTTATGTTTATACACATGTACCTGTCTTGAAAGCAGTTGAGACCTTTCTGTGGTTTGTTATAGACCGTCAGTTCTAACAGTATCTTTTGTTTAAAAAGTATTCATATTCTTTTTATCTAGGTACTTTTAGTGTTTACCAAAGAAGATAGTCAGTGTAATGGATTCCGTAAGGCATGTGAAAAGGCTGGGTATAAATGCACAGTCACCAGGGAACCTCAGGCTGCCCTTACCTGTTTCCTGGACAAATACCACGACATCATCATCATAGACCACAGACATCCCCGGCAGCTGGATGCAGAGGCGATATGCAGGTACGGCCAGGACTCAGGCTTGAACAGTGCTGTTGACATTTGTGGCCATAAATGCAGCCCAGAAGCACATTAGGTTAAATTAAGTCTTTCTCCCAAGGCATGAATTTACATTTAAAATAATCAAGTTGATGTTGTTGTTAGGTGCCATGGAATCCAGTACAACTCATAGCAACCCTCTGAACAGCAGATCTGAACTATACCCCTACTCTATAAAAATATTAGAATCCAGATATTAGATATCTAGATCAAGATATTAGACTGTTACTATTTCTAGGACTAATTTTACTGCGAACACTGGTAGCCTAGTAGGAAGAAGCAGTGTTGCAATCCTGAAGGTCTGCAGTTTGAATCCGGTAGCTACTCCACAGGAGAAGGATGGGCATTCTCTTCCTGTGCAATTAACTGCCTCTGAAAACCCACCAGAGGGTCAGCTGTGGGTCAGTTCTGACTCACTGGTACACAACAATAACGATTTCACTGTGCTTTTTGTTCTACTTTCCTTTGGTTAATACAATAAGCACCTGTGAATAAAAATCATTAAGGCTTAATTTGCAGCCTGACACGTAATGGCCCATAACTGTCATCTGCATATTACTAATATAAAGGATTATTTTAATTTTTCAGGTGTTTTTAAAGTTACAATTTTTTTTAAATTGTCTCCTAATGTTGAAGGTGCCTTGCTTATAATGCTTACTGGATATCAGTATTTTGAGTAAATTCAGAGTAGCAGACTAGAATGCCTCCATCAGCAAAGGGGTGAGGAAGGGTGAAGGGGTGAGGTGTTAATCATAGGGTTGCACAATTCAATGGGTGGAGGGTGAAGGAAATGGGAAGGATGTTTTGTGAAAAACAATGTATTCAAACTTTGTAAATAAATCAGTGTAAAATTTTTTAAAAAAGAATTATTCCATCTCTATCAGATGACAGTCACTCAGAAAAAAGAAGAAACATGGTACTTGGTGGGATAGATAAGCTCCTATAAGCCAGGAGAGGTATCTAAGGAGGACCCAGAGGTCTGTGTAGATGGAGGGGAGGAAGGAGACAGGAAGGTGCTAAAGAAAACCTAGCCTCTCTCCCAGTACTTCTCAGGCCTAAACCTAACTAGCCACAGGTTTGTGCTGAACAGTGAAAATTCATGGTCATAAGAGGACTTTGCTAAGTCTTGTATTGGCAAAGAAAAGGAAGTGGGGGGAGAAAAACCCCAAAACACAACAAACCCAACTCATTAATGTTGAGCTAAAATTGACTCATAGCTGATGCTCCAACAGGTTTTCAGAGACTCTAATAAGCATCAGAAGAGAGATTGGAGCAGCTGGTGGATTCAAATCACCTGCCTTTGCATTGGCAGTTCCGCTCCTTACCTACTTGGCCACCTGAGCTTATTGTCAAAGGAAAAGTCAGCTAAAACAAACAAACAAGAAAATAGAACCCATTACCACTGAGACTCATTGCAGCCCTTAGAACAGAGTGAAACTGCCCACAGGATTCCCAAGGCTGCATCTTTAAAGGAATAGGCTTTCCCCCTGCAGAGTGACTGAAGAGTCAGACCACTGAAGTTTTTTGTTAGCTCTAGAGTGTTTAACCACTGCTTACTTGGACTCCTTTAAAAAAGATAGCATTTTGTTTAGTTATGTTCAACTTTTAAAATATTTCTTTTACTGTGGTTTGGATGAGAGTTTACAGAGGAGACTGGTTTTTTCTTCTTTACACATATTTTGGCTTATGACACTAATTACAGTGCCCACATTGCAACAGCACTCTTCACCCTTCTTCCCTGCACTTCCCATTTCATTAATTTCTTCTTACCTTTTAAGCTTTATTCCTGGACAAATGCTGCCCCTTTGGCCTTACGTGGATGATCGAGCTAAGAAATTAATATCTCCTTGATGTTACACTCATCACCCTGTAGACCAGTCTGTTTGAAAAGTTGAGCCTTGCCTTCCGCTTTCCACCATCTTTCTGTGCCACCACAACAGTGCACATGAACATCCTGGCTGACACTCTCAAGAGCATCATCAATGCCGAGAAGAGAGGCAGGAGCAGGTTCTTATCAGGCTGTGCTCCTAAGTCGTCATTTGGTTCCTGACAGTGATGATGAAGCATGGCTACATTGGTGAACGATGATCACAGAGCGGAAAAAATTGTTGTCATCCTCACAGACAGGTTAAGCAAGTGTGGCGTTATCAGCTCTAGTTTTGATGTGCAACTCAAAGATCAAGAAAAGTGGCAGAATAATCTGCTCCCATCCAGTCAGTTCGGTTTCATTGTACTGACAACCTCAGCTGGCATCATGGACCACAAGGAAGCAAGACGAAAACACACAGGAGGAAAAATCCTGGGATTTTCTCCCCTTAGGGATATAATAAACAGTGCAAATAAAATGTCTCAATGGGAAAAGAAAGTTGAGACTTAAGTGTGAGTTGAGTGGAATCTCTTAAGTGTGAGGAAGAGCCATGGTCTCAGGAGTTCTACAAGTGTCCTACACCAGGAAGACTGACCTTAGTGTTTTTGTTTCTTATTTTTCTCCCTCTCTGCCCAGGACCTTCTCCTTTAGGTTCCTTTCAGAGTGGTCAACACTGGTAGCCAGCTACCAGGAGTGGTATCCACTTCCTAAACTGCATGCCTCTGGAAACTATGAACTTGGAGAAACGATGATAGTTATAGAAAGGCTTTAGGCCTTTTGTTCATAGGGTCACTATGAGTCATGTTCGACCCAATGGCAATCAACAACAACAACAAGGGTCACAGAAGTTAGGTTTACATGATCCATTAGTCTTTTGGACTACTTATGTGTCTTTGATTGACCTCATTTTTCTTTGATTCAGACAAGGAGAGACCAATAGCTGCACCTTAGCTGGCTGTAAGAAAGCTTTTAAGACTCTGATCGTTACCACAGTAGGCTGTAGAACATTGTTGCTGTGGGCTGTGTTATGTGTATTAACCTTGATGGCCACTAACACTGTGGTCCAGAGGCCCTAGGACCAGCAACTTGTTCCCTCTAGATACTTGGTTATGATTAGGAAGTTTACATACCTTTGACCCTTTTTTTGTTCTACTGTGCACGTACTTTGATCCAAGCCATGGTATTTCAAGTTGCTTCCTGTGCACCTGAAAATTGGACAATTAATAAAGATGACAGAAGAATTGATGCCTTTGAATTTTAGTTTTGAAGAATACTGAAAACATGAACCACCAAATGAGCAAACAAGTCTGTCTTGGAGGAAGTGCATCCTTAGAAGCAAGGATCATGAAACTTCATATCACATACTTTGGGCATGTTGTCAAGAGGATGGAGTGTCTTTGGAAAAAAGCATAATGCTTAGAAAGGTGGAGGATCAGAGAAGGAGAGGAAAAACATCAAGAAGAGGGATTGACACAGTGATTGTAACAGTGGGCTTGAGCATATGCAGAGATGATGAGAGGATGATGCAGCATGGGGCAAGTTCCGATGTGATTCGTAGGTGACCTGATGATGCCTAACCACATATATATGCAGTCTCTCACTACTCATTGCTAGCAAGTCAGAACCAACTCATAGCTGACCCTCAAGTAGATTTTTGAGACTAGATAATGTGGGAGGAGATTTTCCATCTTTCTCTGTGCAGATGTATTTGAAATGCCAGAGAGGCATGACCTTTGGGTTCTCAACACAATTCTGTAGACTAGGCCGTCCCACTGTATACATGGAAATACTTATATACCTGTAGAAATGTTTTCTGCCAAACTTGTCATGGGTGTAGATGCATTCATTTATCCACAACTTTTTGTCTTGCCTGTCTGCCTATCTTCTCATTTATAAGATAATGTTTGTTGTTACTTTCAATGCAGGATTGTGTATGTAATACTTTCCATTTTTGTCATCTGCATCTCTTGTGTATCTGTGTCCTCTTTAGTGATACCGTGTTCAGGATCCCTCTTACTGTGTAATGCCTTTCTCTTCAACTTGCTTAATGTGTGCCTGTTACCTAGTTACTGATTTTCACCTCCCCTTTCCTCCCATTTCTGGTCACTATCAAAGAATTTTTCTTTCTGCTTGTAAATTTTTCCTTATTCTTTATAATAGTGGGATCATTCAATATTTGTCATGTGCTTAACTTTTTTTTTCTATAATTATATTTTATTAATTTTCATAAACATTTACAGAGATTTTGGGCTTCCAC